ATATATATGTGTGTATTCTATTTGACTTGGTAATCCCATTGATTAGACTCCAGCAGCTTCACAGATTGTTTATGAAACAGGATCATCTGTTTTCAGTGCCCACCTTGGGTGGTGAAGTTAAAAAGCGAGGGTTTCTCTCTCCCGTTGGGCAGTTTGACATTAGGGTCACGCAGCTCGTCGAAGAAGGAGTGTGCACAGGCCTCTAGAGGGGTGAGGCGCGCCGTGGGCGTGTACTCCAGCAGGCGAGAGCACAGGGCGATGGCCTCCGGAGGCGTACGAGGCCGGAAGACCTGAACCCCCAATTAGAGACAAAAATCAACAAGCACTAAAGATATTTCATGTGGTTCACACATATTAGATAACACAGATTAAAAACACTTTGGTGATATTTAAGGACAGTAATTCAAATTCAAACATTTTATATTCAAAGGAAAGTCTGAAAAAGTATGTAAAACAAATAAAAACATAATGCAATGTTTTGCTAATCTCATAAAATCACTTTTTTTCACAATGGAACATCATAAACTTATCACATGTATGGTTGTTTTCAGAAAAAAACATCTTTATATCGATCGGTGATGATCTCATCACCTTCAGTTTATAATTTCAAACTATTAAAAGAATGAAGAATCTTCTGCACCTGAAGGACCAGGCTGAAAGTCATCATAGGATGCCTGTGACGTTCAGCCCTCAGACAGAATTTAAAACATCTGTTTCTAGACATCACTGCATGAGCTCAGGAACATTTGCACAAATCATGGTTTGTAAACAGTTCACTGTGTCATCCAAAAAAAAACTGATTAAAGCTCCATCTTACAAAGAAGAAACCATGAATGCCATCCAGAAGCGCTGACACCTTCTCTGAGCCAAAGTTTATTTAAAATGTACTGAGGCTAAGTGGAAAAACTACTTTGTGGTCAGACAAATTAAAATTTAAAAGTATTTTTTTTTATTTTTTTTTAGAAACCAAAGAAACCACGACTTCAATATTAAGGAGAAAGACCATCTGGCCTCTTATTACACACACTTCATCAAAAGCCAGCCTCTCTGATGGTATGGGGGTATGTTAGTGCCTCTGGCATGGGCAGCTTACACAGCTGGAAAGAACCGTCAACGCAGAAAAGTTTATATAACATATACTCCTATTCCAAAGGCATGTTTTTCAAAGGAGACCTTACATTTGTTGTGCTAAACCACACAATGCATTTATTACAACAGAATGGCTTCATAGTCATATGTCACTGGGGAGAGGGAAGTCTAGATTTCTCTTCTGGAGTTGTTGTCTCTGCAACCAGACTACAAATACAGTGCCTTGTGAAAGTAATCGGCCACTTTGAACTTTTCAAAATTTTGCCACATTTCAGGCTTTAGACATAAAAATACAAAATTTTATTTTTTTGTGAAGAATCAACAAGTGGGACACAATCGTTAAGTGGAACAAAATTTATTGGATATTTTAAACTTAAATAATAAACTGAAAAATTAAGCATGCAAAATTTTTCGGCGCCCTTGCGTTGATACTTTATACCTTTTGCTGTGATTACAGCTGCAGGTCTCTTGGGGTGTGTCTCTATCAGTTTTGCACATGGAGAGACTGAAATTCTTGCTCATTCTTCCTTGTAAAACAGCTGGAGCTCAGTGAGGTTGGATGGAGAGTGTTTGTGAACAGCAGTTTTCAGCTCTTTCCACAGATTCTGGATTGGATTCAGGTCTGGACTTTGACTTGTCCATTCTGACACCTGGATAAGTTTATTTGTGAACCATTCCATCGTAGATTTTGCTTTATGTTTTGGATCATTGTCTAGTTGGAAGATAAATTCTCCATCCCAGTCTCAGGTCTTTTGCAGACTCCAACAGGTTTTCTTCCAGAATGGTCCTGTACTTGGCTCCATCCATCTTCCCTGTCCCTGCTGAAGAAAAGCAGACCCAAACCATGATGCTGCCACCACCATGTTTGACAGTGGGGATGGTGTGTTAAGGGTGATGAGCTGTGTTGCTTTTACGCCAAACATATCGTTTTGAATTGTGGACAAAAAGTTTGATTTTGGTTTCATCTGAGCAGAGCACCCTCTTCCACATGTTTGGTGCGTCTCCCAGGTGACTTGTGGCAAACTTTAAACAAGACTTTTTATAAATATCTTTGAGAAATGGCTCTCTTCTTGCCACTCTTCCATAAAGGCCAGATTTGTGCAGTGTACGACTGA